TAGGTACTTAAATTTTTACTTGAAATGACCTTATAATCTTTACATTCTCAACAATTTCTTTTTCACATAAGAAAATAATAAAATTATGTTCATCTCTTTTTTTGAATAAAATATTAGCAATAATAAAATCATACGCTAAATTAAAATCTAATATGGTTCTACATTCTTCATTGATCACTCTAAAACCGTAGTCACCATGAATATATCTAAAATCTTCTACTACTCTACCAACATGTCCATTTAAATCTCCTCCAATAAAAAATTTTTCTTCAAGAGGTATTATTTGTATTAATTCTTCTAGGTTATTCCAAAATTTTTCTTTTGAACCTATATGTAAATCAACTTGACAAGCATAAGCACCTACAAAATTAAAAATTTTAGTATCAATAATAATCTTTAGGTTTATAACTCTAACTCTAAGTCTACTAATTTTTACAACATTATCTTTCAAACTCTTATCTATAATTATATCTAAAACATTTCTAGCATGACTCCTACATAAATACCAAAGTTTAAAACCTAAGCTATCAATTCCCTTAGTTTCTTCCCTAAACCATTTAGTTTCTTGAATACATAAGATATTTATAATCATATAAGTCATAATATCAACTAATTTTATTGATTTACCTATGAGAGTATATATATTCCATGATTAAGGCAATCTCAATAAATATGTGTATGGATGTTGATTTAGAAAAAATATGAAAAACAAATAATTTGAGCATAACAGTTGATGACTAGTAATGAGTCACAGCCTAGGCAGACATTATATTCCTCAACATTATAATATGTGCACCACTCAATCAAATAGATACAGATAAAGTCGTCTCATCTCAAACCCCCCTATATTTTTTTTATTTTATTTTTTTCCCACACACACGCAAATACACACACCACATATGTAAAGCCTTGAACTCAAGACTTCTTGCTAGAAAAACAAAACTCTCAACCGCTAGACCAAACTTTAAAAAACAATAATGTTAAATCTCAAACCATCTTGTGTTGCTTCCTCTATATTGCAGTACTTTCATTACACCTTAACAATAAGAATCTACTTGTTTCAAACTATTTTATATCACATGTCAAAGTACGAGTAGATTCACTTTGCAAACTGAGGGTCTGTTTGGGGCAGCTGCAGTTTTTTAAATAATATGTCGATAAGCTAAGTGCGGTGGCTATTACAAATTTTTATTTTTTTGGAAAAGCCAGACCGCGGCCAAAAAGCTGCCACCGCAGCTAGAAACCCTAAACCCTAAACTGAAATTAGACTTCCAAGTTTAAGAAATCCTCAAATAGTCCAAATATACCTTGAACTCAATTGGTTCTCCTTACCAAATTTACTCACAGCCTTCATTTAGTTGACCTTCCCAAATACAAAATCCATTCCACACAACTCTATTTCACAACAATTTGGATCAATATACTTCTTAGTTATCTTATGTCGCTTTCAAGTTATCTCTATTAAGCTTGGTATTCTCAATGGCATTATCAAAAAATTATAGACCAAATGATCTCATTTCTCCTAACTCAATCCGTATGTCCAAGGTGTTCTACAATTTCTTCCAAACAAAGCCTTATATGTAACAATTATAATATTGGACTTAAAAATGTTGTTATGAGAAAATCCAATCGACAACATATCGTCATCCTAACTGCCACCAAGGTCAAGTACGCAACTATAATAAGGCCTTTAATATTTGAATAACCCTCTCAAATTATTCATTCTCATTGACGTGAACTTTGCAATAGTATTGAGAACAATTTCATCTTCATCAAGCATATACCATCAAGCCTTTTTCTTAACAATTGTTTATGCTAATTGCATATAACTAGTTGGATAGATCAAAAAGGGGCCTATAAGGTAAAACATTTTGTGAGAGTATTGTGTCACTTAAGATTTATAAAAACATAAAAAATTGTGAGATTAGGTTCAATCACAACAAAGGAGCACATCACTCTAAGAAGAAACATGTAATTCCTATACTTAACGAGTCTAGTTTTCTTAGTTAAAAGCACGTTGATACCCGTACAAGACTCAACACTTCTAATAACAATGGGTCCCTTCATGATCCATCTAAGTATCAAATGCCAATAGGAAAAACTAGTATTTGAGCATAGCATTTCATTCATTGTTTAAGTTCTTCAACACGTGCAAACCTTAAAACAAAAATATTAAAAGATTATTCTACACATTTTCAAGTATATTACCCTAGATAAAATGATTATATACTCGTAAAAAAAATGTGAAAGCATTCTTAGATGTTGATTATGTTGGCTCATTTCAAAACAAGAAGTAAACCTCTTGATTTTTTTTTTCTTTTTCTCTTTTTTTTTTTTTTGAGATAACACAATCAATTGAAACAATATAAAATAAATTGGTTTGGCTAAATGTAATCTTGAGGCTGAATTCAAAATTGTTACTCATTAAAGGATTTTTTTTAGAGTTTGGTATATCAAATTTTCAATTTATAGTCAATTTTTTAAAATCACATTGTGATTTGCGTTTGCAGCAATCATGTTTCAAGTTCAAGGGTTTGTTTGGGGCAGCTGCAACTTATCCAGCTTATTCTGATAAACAGTTTATTCTGATAATCTGCTGATTAGCAGCTGATCCAGATAAGCTGACTGACAATTTGATTTGTGCGTTTAGACTAGTGGTGGAGAGGTATTCAACCAAGATTTACATTTAATTTTTAAATTTTTAAATTTTTAAATATTTAAATATATGTCTTTCCTTTTCACTGTTTGACACTTCTAATTAAAATATCAATATTTTAATCTCCAGACTATTTTAATATTGAGCTATAATAATCTTTCATGAGGATTACTTCAACCCTAATTTAAGGAGACTTAGGAATACTTTGACACCTCTATAAACTATGAGACTAAGGGTCTGTTTGGGGCAGCTTATAAGTGCAGAGGCGTTTTTGAAAATATCGTTGTATCGTTTGGATCGCGTGTTTTGTCTGCTTATACGAAAACACGGTTACATTTTTACACTAAACGCAGGCCGCGAGTCGACCCCCGCTATCAACCTGCGGATCACGTTTCAGGATAAGTTGTTTATTCTGAAACGCATATGTTGCCCCAAACACACCCTAAATTAAGTTGTTAAAACTTTCACAAAACACTTGGATCATCTACCATTTTATCGATTATATAACAAACTATAAATAATTAATATAAATGCTCCAACTTGAGGAGCTTGCAAACACTAGATAATATTAAAATAAGAAGCTCTTTACATTGAAGGGTGAAGTAAGTTACTTGAGTATACTCTAAAACTTTATACTCATTCCCCTATGAGCAATCTCTATTTGAATAAAGCATGCCATCTAACAAGCTCTTCCTTGTCCTCTAAAAATTTGAGAAAATTCAAACATAAATTTCCTAGATGTAAAGTATTGAAACGCTATGGCTAAAAATGTAAGAAAAACAATTGAAGGCCAATGCCACAAAGGATAATTATAGACAATAGTATATTTTCTTAACAATAAAAATGAATTGAAAGCTATAAAATGGCCAATAAAAGGCTGAAGTATAAAGAATATAGCAAAACGACATTTAAAATAACAATGAAGCAAATAGCATTGTGGAAAAAATAGTATAATGGAATGAAGAAGAACTTTGAAGTGTATGGAGAGTAAGAGCAAACAAGCACACGCATAATTTAAGGTTGTGAGTAGCACCTAAAATTGAAGCCTTCTTTCAATAGGACCACCCACAAGTTGTGATTCTGCCAAATCCACAAGCACCCCATGTAAGAGAAACTAGGTAAGGAAGAATAAGGAAAAGGGGAAAATAATCGTAAGTGGGTAAATATTTTGGCTATTAGCAAGTCCTAAAAACCATATTGCTGAGAAATTTCATGTAAGAACTATATAAGTTTCCAAAAGGATTCCACAAGAGGGTTCATGATGTTCTTAATCAAGTCCAAGTTTTAAAAACATAATGGCTTATGCTTCACTACAAAATAGAAATAATCTCAAGTTTCTGATTCATTATATTAGCATGTCAGTACAGCAAAACCTAAAGCATGCAATTCACATAAATTTATTCTTCATTTAAGAGGGTAAAGGAGAGCAAATTCTTTCAATTATGATAATTTTGTCTATAAAAAAAGAAATATAAAAAATCTTCTAAACCATAGAAACAAAAGCATATTTCAAAGCCCCAAGTAATAGAGAAAAGAGATTGCTAGGACCTCTTGTAATCAATGCATATGAAACTTTTATTTTCTTTCATTCACTTTTCCTTTTATCTAATAAGTACATTTGGAAAATGATATTCCCACTTCTGGAAATTACTTTGTGACTAATGGTCCTCTCAGTGAACTTCAACCAGAATTAAATCTCAGACAATTTCCTACCAGTTCCATCACATTAAAACCACAATCTCTAAAGATAGTAATAAAATCTTCCCATCTCATTCAAAAACATTCAGCTCAGTGGCATCAACAATTTACCTTAACAGTTGCATTTACTGGACATTCCCGGTTTCAATTCTACCACTAAATCAAAATTGTGTTGGCATCAAGAATAACAAGCCTACTTACTGGCTGGCTTCTTGCATGTTGAATCAACATTTCTCCCAATCAATTTAAGATTAATCAAATATTAAGCAATTCAAATGCCAATTTTATTTCTTTCTTTTCTTTTCCTTGCTCCGCCATTCCATAACTGAACTCAACCCATTCCAATAAATTCCGCGCATTGGCGCAATTCAAATTACCAATAATCGTATGCAAGCCTTCTCGACTAAAAAAACAAAAATAAATAAAAAAAGCAGACAAAGATACAGAAGCCTCGAGGACAACACAATTTTAATAATTAACCTGACAATGTCAAAATAATCTAAATGGAAGGCGATAAACAAAGAAATTTCTCAAAGGATCAGAGAGAAATAAATATTAGAAGGCCTGACAAAATCCAGTAAATGAAAGCAGCAACAGTACCTCAATTGAAATATATATATATATATATAAGTGGATGAACACTCACAAATTCAACAAAGGCCTGGTTGCGGTTAGCGCCCACGTTGGACTTTGTATTGACAATCTTTCCAAATGGCTTGCATAGTTCGACGAGCTCCTCCTCCGTGCACTCCCAGGGAAGGTTCCGCAGATGCAACACCTTGGACGGCGTCTGTGTGTAACGAAACTGCTGTGGTCCCGAGGACGACATGTTCTCAGGTTCGATCTTGAACCAGTTGCCTCGGCGGCACCGAGCGCGCGGTAATGCCTCCAAAGGCCGGATGGATGAATCTCAGGTTTGGAAAATGGCTCAGAAACCCCGTCGAAAACAACTGGGTGAGGATTCTTGTGAGGTAGACGACGGAATTTACCTTGAAGAGAGATGAAGAAATCGATACTAGGGCTCGTTTCTTATGGAAGAAAGAGTATAAATACGCCATTCGGGTTTTGTTTGGGCCGCTTATCTTGGCTTTACTGTTTGAACCGTCAAATCTCTCAAAATATTGAAGTGATGATAAATTATAATTCTAACTCATTTTAAAAGAAAGAAGGTATACTATTTTCAATTATTTTTAAAAGAATATCTTCTTTCAACAACTGTTTTTATAGAAACAGTTATAGAGCGTTCTAATAATCCCGAGGGCACGTTTGTTAGCACATTTTTAACATGACTTAGTCATGAATTTAACTTAAATCTAGTCAAACACAAATAGAAAAAAAAATGAAAACAAAATGCAAATTTACGACACCTCCCATTCGCCTTCCCGCCCGTCATATCATCCTCTCCACACCTCTTTCGTCTTCAAATCTGGATTTTGTAAATCCTATAGAGAGGCAAATTAAATGGATTTTACTTGTCGTTGTTTGCACCTTTACTCCCGTTTGAGCCCCAACTGAAATATGGATTTAATAAATCCTATTAACTAAAATCTGGCCCTGCAGTCAAACAACCCATAAGTATAACATTAATATTTGTTTTTCTTTTAAAACCAAACCAAAAAGTAAATTTAATTGTCCTTATCTCTTCAAAATCAAACTTTATAATTGTTTAAATATCTAATTTTTATTATTTTTTGTCTATTAACTCGTTATCTGTCATCTTACTATTATAAATCTTTATGAAGTGATGTTGAGTTGGAAATGAGGGTCATAAATTTTAAAAGAACAAAAATTGAAATTATATGTGATTTATTATCTTAATATTATATTATTATTTTACACAAACATTGAGGTTACAAATATAGTACATACTTTAAAATTTTTACATTAAACTTTGAAGGAAAAAAAAATACGCTAGGCCTACTGAAATACTTTTCCTTATTTATGTTAAATTACAAATATTTACATTTTCTTATAATTAGAGAAAATAAAATTACACCATTAAGGCATGCACAGTAAGGTATGTCTATGATTGTGATGTGGAAAGTTTAAGAATGTTGATGTTAACAACAAGTGGTAATAGTTTGATAACAACTAATAACAATCATTGAAAGTTAAACAAATATGATATCAAATATCCATTGATTGGGGGCACATGATGTTGAATGGAGATTGAAGGGTGTAGAATGTTTGGTTAAGGGCATTTAATGACTAACAAATATGAGAATAACAAATAAAATAAAAACAAAAACATATTTGTTTATGGATGTGATGGATACCAATCTATGATTAATAAGAGACAATATATGGATAATGACAAGCACTAAGATTCTGAGGATGGAAAAAAATTAATGTGATTCTTCTAACGTGAGAGAATATAAGGCAACTTATGAAAGCGGAAGAGCAATTTTAATTAACAAAAAAAAAATAACAACTTAATATTTCATTTGACTATCAATGCTTTAATGTTCTAAAAATTTTGAAAATCATCTCTACTTAACTATATCTCATGTGCATACCAATCTAATTAACGAGTGATATTTTAGTTTATTTATTATAATTACTCAATTTAATACCTTAACTAGATGTTCTAAATTTCTTAATTCCTCAAATTAAAAAATAGTCGCCTAATACTGCTCCAAGGTTAGCCCGATGAGCCTATATTGATTATAATCATCTTTGGTGGCCAGTGGAGGGTCAAAAAAGTTATCCTAAGCAATGCCTCCGATCAATGAGCTAAATATCCATTTTAAAGATCCATACACCATGAATCTAATGGAGTCTTCTAGTTGATTTTTTTCTCAATCGAATTACCTTAAATAAATCCATAAATAGGAGAGCAACATTATTATATATACAAAACTATTGAGTATGAATAACAATCTTAGCATCAAATTTATTGTCTACTTGGGATCAGTTTCTTATCTTCTTCAACTTCCATTTGTTGTCCATAATATCATATTATAAGAATTAAAGTCACATGATTATAGGCAAGATTTTGACTTTTGATCTTGTATGGATGTTGAGAAATATGTCCTTCGATGCTTCCTTATCAGTGCTTAGAACATGGTGGACAATCACACTCTAGTGAAAGTCAATGGTCTTCGCCTCTCACAAAGTAAAAGGTTGTTAGTTGGTATCATAAACTATTTAATTTATCTTTATTATTATAATACCTCATTTTCATATTTTAAAAATATGACTCCCTCCATTATTTGGTTCTTTATGCGATTTTCATCCTCTAAAAAGTGTTAAAAGATTTTCAAAATAAAATTTCAATTGCTCAAACCACTTCACTTAAGGTAATTGAATACATTGAATTTAATATTATAATTTTTTTTTAAATAAACCCTGTAGGGAATTTTATTCCACACAAAAAGTTATACAACAACAGACAAATGAAACCTACTACACACCCTATACAACTTACACAAAAACAAAAAGCTATGGTTCCTCTCCCTAAGAAAATAAAATACAACTAACACCACCAACAAGACAATGAAACCATCCAAAACACAAAAAAATTAGGATAAAGAAGAAACATAAGCAACAAAGCTAATGCAAATCCAACTAAACTGGTTGTTCTAAAGCACAAGAGACCTTCTTAAAAATAAAGGTAGAATTAAATTGATTTCCAAACTTTGTAGTCAAGTTCACCACTTTATTGCCATCTCTCTTAGTGTGAGTCTGACAAATGTACAATTTCTTGTTCAAATTTTCAATTTATTTCATCTATATATTGATGCCCCAATGCTAATCTTCCTTAAACCTGCAATAATTCCAAAGAATTAAAGAATCCATCTCTAAACTAATGTATTTCTAGCCATATTTTTTAGCAACCATCAAACCAAACATCATTGCATCAGCTGCAACAACCAAGGGGGAAATAGGAACAACAACAGTCGCAAACCACCATATGACAGTGCCAACAAAATTTCGTACACTAAAAAAAAATCAAATGAAAATAGTGACCTAAACCCTAAACCCACACCTCCAACACCTATCTTATTAGTTTTCTAGCTATCATTAACATTTATTTTTACGAAAGGTGCAGCAGGTTTACACCAAGTCACACTAGTTTTTAACATATCAATAGGATTAACAGATATCCTTAAATTAAGAAAAACATCTTTCAACTTACTATTAGGCTTCCCTTTACAACCATTGAAGGTAAGGCTATTAATCAGATAATTGATAATCATACCAAAAGTATTATTAATATTAGGTATCTCGTCATGATATTTAGCATTATTTAAAGCAAACCATATGAACCAAAAAATGAAGATGGGATGTTAGAGAAAAAAAACATGACTCATCATAGATATTAACATTATCATTATAGTTACCCACAATCCTATTCCTATTAATAAAGATATTGACTCTATTCCAAATCTCTTCCACAAACCTGCAGTTAATAAACATGTGTAATAGATTCCTCATCAACCCTACAAATTAAATAATAAGAACTTATCGTAAACCCCTTAATTTTTTATAATATCATCAATAGGAAGAATTTTATGGAATAGCCTCCAAATAAAAAAGGATTGAGAGGGTTTCACCCAATAATTCCAAATCCACTTGAGTTCCATACCCTGAAAAGATTGAAAGGAATTCCAAATTCCAAATTATTGCAATACTTAGCATACAAAAGAGAAGCTCAAATCGAATTATTTATTCTAAAATGATACCAAAGTGTCATATAATTAATATGAATGGTATTAGATAAACTTGTAAAGCCAAGTCCTCCTTTATTCAGAGGCTTATAAAGCTTCCCAAAACTTTTTCAATGAATATTTTGCCTAACATTGTCATCCCAAAGAAATTTATTGAATACATATTTCAGCTTATTAATAAAACTCATATGCATATTCATAACTTACATAAACTACAGAGGAATAGAAGTAAGGATGCTTTTTAACATAGCAATTCTCCCTCCAAATGAGAGAAATTTGTTCTCCTAAGAAAGAATTCTATTTTTGATTTTGTCAACCAAAATAAAAAAAAGAGCATTCATCTTACTACCTTTATCAAGAGTAAAGCCCAAGTAAACCCTAAAAAGCAAATTAGCCTTATTACAGTTGTTGAAATCCACCATCCAATTCTTATTAGTAGGAGATACATTTTTTAAGCAATAAAGATGACATTTGAAAGCATTAAAGATCATATCATAAGTCTCTTGAAATTGAAGAATTTCCTTCCTAACTTTCTTAATAGATCTTTTGTTAGCTTTGGTAAAAATAATTAAATCATCAACAAAACTCAAATAGAAAATTCATACCATGCCTCTATGAAGACAATACATACTAGGACACTTAATAAACAAATTATTTAAACATCTAAATAAATAGTCAAAAGAAATAATAAAGAGATAAGGAGAAAGTGAATCACCTTGCTTAATGCCAACAAAAGCCTTACAGAAACCATAAGCTTTACCATTAATTAATAAAGAGTAAAAATTGTTATTAAGAAAGGAGAAGAGGGGAAGGGTTTAGGGTTTAGTATTTTGGGTTTAGGGTTTAGGGCTTAGAGTTTAGGTTTTACGGTTTCGAGTTTAGGGTTTCAGATTTAGGGTTTTGGATTTAGGGTTTCGGGTTTTGGGTCTCGGGTCTCGAGTCTCGGGTTTTGGGTCTTGGGTTTTCGGTTTATGATTTCAGGTTTAGGTTTTAGGGTTTAAGAATTAGAATTTAGGGTTTACGATTTAGTATTTTAGAGATTTAGGGGTTAGGGGTTAGGGGTTATATATATATATATATATGATCATTTTATATTATTAATTTATATATAATTTTAAATTATTTATATGTATAATTAAAAATTAAATATTTATATTTATATAATAAAATTAAAAATTAATTATATAAAACTTAAAACCTAAATCTGAAACCCTAACATATAAGTTTTATCAATAGTCCGAACATAGAGGCTATTGACAGAAAGTTGAATTGCAAAATCACTCATCATATTGTATTCATTGTAGTGTGTTTGGGCATATCCCTTCTCAATGTTTTCATCTACATCCACATTTGAAAATTAGGCCCACCCCTCCTCCCTCACCACACCATCCGCTCCCTGAGAT